TGGTTGCCACTTCTACCATGGAAGTTGAGGCTATTACACATAGTATTTGGTTGCGAAGTTTCATTTCTGGGCTTGGAGTTGTTGAGTCTATCTCTAGGCCAATAAGGTTGTACTGTGACAATTCAGCTATTATGTTCTTTGCTAAGAACAATGAGAATGGAAGTTGAAGTAAATACGTCAACATAAATACTTAGCAATAAGGGAGCACATTAAAGCCAAAGAAGTGTTCATTGAACACATACACATTGAGTAGATGATTGATGATCCTCTAGAAAAAGGTATGCCACCAAAGATGTTCAGGGATCATTTGAGGTTTGTTCATTAAGTAATATTCCACATTTAAGCGTTTATTTAGAAAGAGAAAAATTGCATAGTAATACATGGAAGGTAATACTTGTTTAAAATGGACTTATCGCTAAGGTTCATGCAATTTCATTTTTCTAATTAAACATAAAGAATATAAAACTACTATGTTGTGGATTATGTAATAAAAGTTTGGACCAAGTGGGAGAATGTTAAAATTTTAATTAATTAAAATTCATTAATTACTATTTAGTCCTTCACTTTTATATATTAGTTTTATATAATATTTAACTGCTGAGCAGTTTCTTAGCAGTTGAGCAGCTATCCCTAGCAGTTGTCTTTGATGGAAAGACTTCTGTATACTCTAATAAGGGAACAGTTACATGCCCCCAGTACACGCAATTATCGTTCTGAGAATTGCAATGCATTAGAAGAATCTGTAATCCTTGAAGAAGACAACAACAACAAATTGCTATGGCTGGAGGTTAGTAGTATTGATTTATTTGCGTTGTATTTGTATATGAACATGTATATGGATTTATATGATTTGCCTATATACATGTTTATTGATATGAATAAAATGTTTAACATTATGAGGGCGTTTGGATCATATAATGTTTTATTATAAAGGGATATTATATTAACGGAATAAAAAATCACTTTGAAGATTGCTGGGAATGTTTAAAAAATGTGTTTGGTTGGTTCGAATAAATTGATGAATAATATATTTGGGTGGGAGGATAAATGAGTGGGTATGTTATATAGATTACTAAATTGCCCTCCTTTTTAAATATTAAGATAATAGTAATTTTTATTATTATTTTTTGAATAATTCCTTTTAACCCCCTACTGTTCAGATTTAGCAAAAGCACCCAAGCAACCAAAAATGTTTTAAACTTAACAAAAACACCCTACCCATCCCAAGCCATTAACGGAAGCTAACCACCACCATCAGCGGTCGCAACAATGCCACAGATTTGGTCGTGACGTCGGTAGTGCCATTGATCTGGCCATGGTCGTTTCACGGCCACATATGTGGTCGTGAAATGGCCAGGTCTTTGGCTATGAAACGGCTAGATCTAGCCGTTTTCGAGGCCTCACTGGGGCACGACCGGCCATATATGGCCAGTTGTGCGCCATTATAGCGACTTTTGGCAGCCTCCGACGGCAGTACATGGTGACTGACGATGGTGGTTAGTTCTGGGTACAATGGCATTTCTGTAAATAGTGACAATAACAAGAGTTATGTCGTCCGAAAAATTTAAAAAGTGAGGATAAAAATGTCTGCATGAGTGAATTGGATGTTTTGCAAATCTTAACAAATATAAGGCTAATTTGGACCAAATGCTCATCTGTTTAGAGGTAATATGGGAAACAAAATTATATTACCTTGGGTAAGTTTTAATAACTGCCCCCTCCAAGGTATTAAGATTCCCAGCAATTTACCCCCCAAATGCCACTATTTTCATAAAATATTTCAGGAATAATTTTTAGAAACCAACCAAACATCGTCATTTCAATTTAAAAAATATTACCCCAGTTATATAATATTAACCCTATCCAAATTACCCATATATGATATATAATATCGATAAGGGGTCGTTTGGATCAGGGGTATATAAGATAACAGGGGCAATCTTCGTTTATTTTGCAAGATTCCGGTGTTTGATTTGCAAGTAATAAAATATTACAGTAATCTTTTATTGCAAATAGTGTTTACTATTGGTAATGTGGGTGGTAATCTTATTACCTTGCTAAGAGGTGTTATTAAAACATTACTGGAGTAATCTAATTTTTCTACCCATTTTGCCCTTAATTAAAAACCATTTTGGACACAATTGCCCTCAAATGTCTACCAAATAACAATTAGTCAGCCCCCCTACATTTTAGAAATTAGCTAAAACACCCTAACCATAAAAAAGTTTAAAAGTTAATAAAATACCCCCAACCACCCAAGACCACTACCGGTCGTGATTCACCATTAGCATCAGTCGCTATAATGGTGCACAACCAATGGGATCTGGCCGGTCGTGCACCAGTAAACGGCCAGATCTGGCGTTTCTATGGTTGTTTGACAGCCACATCTTTAGCTGTGAAATGGCCAGCCATGGATTTGTGATCCATGGCCATTTTCGGCTTTGTCGGGGCACGAACGGCCATATACGGTCAGTCATGAGCCATTTCGTCAACTGTTGGCGGTGATTGACGGTGGTGGCTGGCTACCGATAGTGGCTTGGGGTGGGTGGGGGTGGTTTTGCTACAAATTAAAGTTTTATATGGTTGGGGTGTTTTAGCAAAATTTCAAATGTAAGAGGTTAAAAGAAATGATTCAAAAAATAATTATAAAAATTACTATTATATTAATATTTAAAAATGAGGGTAATTTAGTAATCTATATAATATATCCACCCATTTATCCACCTAACAAAACATATTATTCACCAATTTATTCGAACAAACCAAACACGTTTTCTAAACATTCCCAGTAATCTTCAAGGTGATCTTTCTTTTCGTCAATATAATATTCCTCTATAATAAAATATCATATGATCTAAATGCCCTGTAAGGATCTATTTCTTTCGCCCCTACATGAAATCACTTAACATGAAATGCTCCGCTATTATTGAAAAGTAATGCATGAGGGTAAATAAAATAAACTATACCAAATAAATTAAACTTAAAAAAGAAGCAGAAGAACACAGCATTAATGTATGTTATGTTTTTACCATATAAAACAGGCCACGAGGGAGCTGCGAGCCTGAGGGTTTTAAGCAAGATTGTGGGTGTGACCTTTCCCTATTCAGAATCTGAGAAGGAAGAATTCTTTAGCAGAGCCCCTCAGTACAATTAAGGTCGCTTCTCTCCTGAAGGAGTTGAAGAATTAACTGATAAAATCAAACTCAAGAAATATACAAAAAAAATATTCGATCCATATGAACTTAAATCGTATATCTTGTCATCCATATTTCTCTTTTAAAATTAGTTGTTGCTGTTCTTGTTAGCAAAAGTCAAAATGAAGTTTATGTAGCTTCAAGTTGAGTATGAATAAATATATATGTGTTGTTCTGAATTTTATATATATAGTTAAAAATTTTAAATTAGGTTGTTCGTAAATTCAAATAAAAATTGATATTGTAGTTTGTATATTGAAGGAGATGGTATTTTTTAAGGGTAATTTTCATGGTTTCTTTCCACGAGTGTCACAAAATTGTTTGCCATTAATAATGTTAAATTAATAGTGAATAAAAGAAAACCATTGTTAAGTATAAATGTTAAAAAAATATTTTCTAAATCTTTAGTTTTACTTTATATCTAAAACTTTATATAAAAACATTTACATATATAGCCAATCTTACTTTTATGTATGAATTTCACTCACAGTTAGTGTATTCTTCTTCAACGTCTTCAATTTATTGTATAAAGGTATATGAGAAAAATAAATAAAATGGTTTTTTCTCTCTTCCATTTTCCAATAAACTAAAAGAAAGCCATAATAAAAATCTCTAAACATATTTTCTTCTAGTTCTTACTAAACAAATAAAAAAAAAATCCATCCACTTTACTCCTAATTTCTTTTTTAGAAAACTTACAAAATGTTTATTATAATTCTAAAAAATATTGCCTTTATTTGAAAATTGCACATCTCTTAAAAGTTTATATAATATATTACCAAGCGTATTAAAGCCAATTCCGAACCCTTAATTTCGTGTCGTATTTTTAGATCATGTTAGACAATTTTTTTGTATTTTGAGTTAATAAATTTTTATCCCTAACGTTTGGGGAAAATATCTTAGGTCATGTAAAATTGAAAAGAGTCACTGTCATCCCTATCCAACGATTGTCGTTAGGGTTTGTTCAACATTGTAAGGGTTAAGGTTCCATGAGCTCAGTAGCGGATCTAGAAATTCTTATTAAGGTGAGCCAAAATAAAATGTAATAACATAAATATTCATATTATATGTTTTTAGTTGAAATTGTCATAAAAAGAAAAAAAAAATTACATATAAATATTTTTTTTTTTTAAATTTGAGGGTGGACCATCAATATACTCTAGATCCGCCCCTGCATGAGCTAATGAGTTCGGTTCTTCATAGACACTAATAGAGGTGACTATTGAAACTCTTATCTGCTAGCAATTTCAAAGTTATAAGGGATTAGTTGAAGTACGCACAAATTGATCCAACCATCCCAAATAATTAAAAAAAAAAACATTGTAAGGGCCCTTTCGAGTCTTTTAATAAACTAAACATTCTAAAATTTGTTAAATGAATGTTAAAAAAATACAAAACAAAAATAATCAACCCACAACCACCGTCGCTCACCCTCAACCCCTTGACCAGAGCAATCCAATCCAGTCCATCATCGGCCTTTCCCAAAGCCATATCACAGCGGGTGGGCATTTCATATCTGCACCATTGACAGACACCAAAATTCTCTAGTCGGCTGTTGTCTGACAGAGACGACAGTGACTCTTTCCAATTTTATAGGACCAAAGCTCTTCCCTCAAAAGTCAAATCTCAAGGACGAAAATGTCATTAACTCCACACTTAAGCCAATTCTGACTCGTTAATTTCTGTCGTATTTTTAGACCGTGTCACAATTTATTTTCTCTACCTTAAAAAAAAGATAAAATCTCAGTCGTTGGATCAATGAAAATAAATATCATCACAGCCGTCCAATTGAACACTTTCTGAAGCCAAGTTGCCAAAGAAGAACCACTTCGTCAGAAATTAGGTGGCAACAGATTCACTCTTCAACTCTCTACACATGTTCGTAGTTTTCATCGACAAAAATCTTCCCAAAATCTCAAACTAAACTGATAAAAATGCTGTCGATTCGCTCCATTTTAACTTCACAGCGAAGCTTAAGACCCTCCAAGCTCTCCCCATTTCATTCCTCTTGTTTGTGTTATTCAGCTGCCGCAGTTGAAGCTGAGAGAACCATCAGAGAAGGCCCCAGACACGACTGGTCAAAAGATGAGATCAAGTCCATTTACGACTCTCCCGTTCTCGATCTCCTCTTCCATGGAGTCAGTTTCACTTCTTAATCTCTTATTTATGGCTTTACTTTTTGTGGGTTCTGTTTAGAATTGTGTTTTGATAGTTAGTTTTTGTTTTGAAATCCATTGTTTATCTGGGTATTCTTTTTAATTGTTTTTTGTGAATGTGTAGACTTCTCAGTGTGATGTTTGCTTTAGTTGGGTTATTAGCATTGGTTTTATGGTTTAGTTTGCAGCGTGTAAAGAGGGATCATAGCTATCTGGAAAAAGTAAATTAATTTTAGTTGTGTTACTGTTAAGAGTAAAATATTTATGTTGGTTGTCGCCTAATAGTTTAAGCTTTTGGGTTTCATGAATTATCAGAGTTAGGGGTGTTTGTCTAAGCTTATAAGCTGGTTAAACTAGCTTATAAACTCTAAAATTAAGCTGAACTGTTTGTTTATAACTTTTTTGAGCTTATAAGCCAAAAAAAATAAGTTGGGAGGAGGTACTTTTTTTTCTTTTTTGCTCATAAGCTAGTTTGACCAAGTATATTACCACGTTATTTTGTTTAATTTTAAAATTTTATAGTATACCCTTGTTTAATGTAGTACCATTTTTAGTCATTTTATAATAAAATATACTTATAAGCCACATTTTACCAAACATGTCAACTACTTATCAGTTACTTATAAGTACTTTAACCAAACACGTAATTGCTTAAAATTTCAAATACTTATAGCTTATAAGCACTCATAAGCNCCATCAGAGAAGGCCCCAGACACGACTGGTCAAAAGATGAGATCAAGTCCATTTACGACTCTCCCGTTCTCGATCTCCTCTTCCATGGAGTCAGTTTCACTTCTTAATCTCTTATTTATGGCTTTACTTTTTGTGGGTTCTGTTTAGAATTGTGTTTTGATAGTTAGTTTTTGTTTTGAAATCCATTGTTTATCTGGATATTCTTTTTAATTGTTTTTTGTGAATGTGTAGACTTCTCAGTGTGATGTTTGCTTTAGTTGAGTTATTAGCATTGGTTTTATGGTTTAGTTTGAAGCGTGTAAAGAGAGATCATAGATATCTGGAAAAAGTAAATTAATTTTAGTTGTGTTACTGTTAAGAGTAAAATATTTATGTTGGTTGTTGCCTAATAGTTTAAGCTTTTGGGTTTCATGAATTATCAGAGTTAGGGGTGTTTGTCTAAGCTTATAAGCTGGTTAAACTAGCTTATAAACTCTAAAATTAAGCTGAACTGTTTGTTTATAACTTTTTTGAGCTTATAAGCCAAAAAAAATAAGTTGGGAGGAGGTACTTTTTTTTCTTTTTTGCTCATAAGCTAGTTTGACCAAGTATATTACCACGTTATTTTGTTTAATTTTAAAATTTTATAGTATACCCTTGTTTAATGTAGTACCATTTTTAGTCATTTTATAATAAAATATACTTATAAGCCACATTTTACCAAACATGTCAACTACTTATCAGTTACTTATAAGTACTTTAACCAAACACGTAATTGCTTAAAATTTCAAATACTTATAGCTTATAAGCACTCATAAGCTCAGACAAACACCCCTTTAATGTCTCTTCTTCAAATCCCTAATGCGTCACATCTATTTCAATCAGTTGATGCAGTTAATATAGTATCTTTGCAAACAACTTGATATACTATCGCCCTTCAACCCTTTGTGAAAAATGTGACACAAGGAAGGAAAATCCATGGACCGACCCCAATATCTCCATCCGTAGGAACTATAAGATAACCCCAAGTAGGCCTTGACTCCACTAGCTCATGGGATCCGTTAAACCTTTAAGTCGGATCACATTACATTTAATGTCACATGTTAGACTTGAATATTAATGGTTTTGTTGGTTCTTACCTAATAGTTAAGAGTGAAGTGGTAGCTTAGTAAGTTTGGTGTCCTGTCCAATTTTTTCTATTTTGCTTAAAAAAAAATTTGTTAAATGATGTTGTTACTGGTAATGTAACTGCTGTTATTGTATGGTTGACTTAATTAGAGGTTGTTTCTGGTTGTAGGCTCAAGTTCACAGACATGCTCATAACTTCAGGGAGGTGCAGCAGTGCACTCTCCTCTCTATCAAGACTGGGGGATGTAGTGAGGATTGTTCGTATTGTCCTCAATCCTCAAGATACGACACTGGAGTAAAAGCACAAAAGCTAATGGCTAAGGAAACTGTGATGCAGGCAGCTCAGAAGGTGAGCAAGTTTATTTTACTGTGTTTGTATGACACTTTGAAGTAGAACTCATTGATGCTGTTCTCTGTCATAATGAGTTACTCTTGTGTCCTAGCTGTGTTACTAGGAGATATTGAATTATGGTATCAAGGCAAAAATAATTTTTTTTTTCCTCACAGTGGTGATTATTTGCTATGCCTCGTTGAAATCGGAGAAAACTATTACTTTTTCTCTTCATTGAAGAATTGTTTCACGTATTTCTTGGTCACTTGCAGTAATTTTATGGAGAGAGAACACTGTCTTACCTAATCATGATAGAGTTGAGAGGAAGAACAACGTAATTGTTCCAATTCTACTTTAATATAAATAATCTGTTTTAAGTTTTTTGACAAATTGATCTAATGAAAATTCTTTTTAAAAATGACTCTGGTTAGTTGGTTACAGTCTCAATTTGATAGATTTTGTTTCAATTATCTATGAACTATTGGTTGATTTGTGTTGTGTTGCATGTAATACAATGCTATTCATTATGACATCAACATCTTTGTATCTTTTATTAGGCAAAGGAGGCTGGTAGCACACGTTTTTGTATGGGTGCTGCATGGAGAGACACGATAGGGAGGAAGACCAATTTCAATAACATCCTTGAATATGTGAAAGAAATAAGGTAATAAGGCAACTTCCAAGAAAAATTTATTGTGCTAAAAGAAGTTGATTTCCTGATTGTGCTTGAATAACTTTTACCTTTTTTAACATGAATGAGTTCATTATACTGTACTGTGGAGACACATTACCACAAAGTTATCAAACCAGTGAGAAAGTTGTATTTCATACTGATGAATACCATCTCTGCAACTACTACTCACTAACACAATCTCCCGAAAACTTTCAACAACACAACCACACCAATGCACAAATCACAATATTGANGAGAGTTTGAGATAGTAAGAATAGAGAGTAGAAGAAAGAAACATGCAGTTTTTTTGCATTAATTGCATGTACATCTCATACATGCATGCACCATGATTTCTTCCATGGTTAGTGAGAGTATGATGAGAATAAGAGAGAACCATGATTTTCTTTCATGGTGAGTAAGAATGAGAGAAGAAGAAAAGAGAATAAGAACGGAGAGAGAAAGAAAGAATAAAAAGAGCAAAACAGAGTTAAAGGAGAATAAAAGTATTAGCAAGAAAGAGAAAAACAGTGAGAATTAGAAATAGAAGAACAGTAGAGTAAGAAAAGAACCAAAGAGTGAGTTGCGAGGACAAGTAGTAGAAGATTTACTTACTGAGTATTGTTGTGCTCACCCCATTGTTCTTCCCTGTTTTGCGGGAATTAGGAGCAGCGGTCGAATGGATGTCGAGGAGCGGAGAGTATTGGCACTACTGTCCACCAGTTATGATATTTTGTATTAAGTTGAAAGTTTTTAATACATAGTATTTTGTATATGTAAAGAATTATATTTTATGAGTAAAGAAAAGTTTGAGCACACTATCTTCCATACGCTATGTATATCTATAATTTGCATAGTATGTATTATAAGAATAGTAGTAGAGAGCAGGTGTTACAATTAACCCCATCCAAATGACCCCTATATGATATATAATATCAATAAGGGGTCGTTCGGATCGGGGGTATATAAGATAACAGGGGTAATCTTCATTTATTTTGCAAAATTTCGGTGTTTGGTTTGCAAGTGATAAAATATTATGGTAATCTTTTATTGCAAATAGTGTTTACTGTTGATAATATGGGGGGTAATCTTATTACCTTGCTAGGAAGTGTTATTAAAACATTACCTGGGTAATCTAGTTTTTCTACCCATTTTGCCCTTAATTAAAAACCATTTTGGACACAATTGCCCTCAAATGTCTACCAAATAATAATTAGCCAGCCCTCCTATATTTTAGAAATTGGCTAAAACACCCCAATCACAAAAAAGTTTAAAAGTTAAGAAAATGCCCCCAGCCACCCAAGACCACCACCAACCGTGACTAACCATTGGCATCAGTCGCCGTAATGGTGCACGACCAGTGGGGTCTGGTCGGTCGTGCGCTAGTAAACGGCCAGATCTGACGTTTCTATGGCTGTTTCACAGCCACATCTTTAGTTGTGAAATAGTCGTAGATTTGGCTATTTTTCGGCCATGGATCTATGATCTATGGCCATTTTCAGCTTTGTTAGGGCACGACCGGCCATATACGGTCACTCGTGCGCCATTTCGTCCATTGCCGGCGGTGGCCGACAGTGGTGGCTGGCTACCGGCAGTGGCTTGGGATGGATAGGGGTGGTTTTGCTATAAATTAAAGTTTTATATAGTTGGGGTGTTTTAGCAAAATTTCAAATATAAGGGGTTAAAAGAAATGATTAAAAAAATATTAATAAAAATTAATATTATATTAATATTTAAAAAGGAGGACAATTTAGTAATCTATATAATATACCCACCTATTTATCCTCCCAACCAAACATATTATTCACCAATTTATTCGAACCAACCAAACACATTTTCTAAACATTTCTAGTAATCTTCAAGGTGATCTTTCTTTCCATCAATATAATATTCTCCTATAATAAAATATTAAATGATCTAAACACCCCCCTAAGGATCTATTTCTTTCACCCCTACATGAAATCACTTAACATGAAGTGCTCAGCTATTATTGAAAAGTAATGCATGAGGGTAAATAAAATAAACTATACCAAATAAATTAAACTTAAAAAAGAAGCAGAAGAAGAAAGCATCAATGTATGTTATGTTTTTACCATATAAAACAGGCCACGAGGGAGCTGCGAGCCTGAGGGTTTTAAGCAAGATTGTGGGTGTGACCTTTCCCTATTCAGAATCTGAGAAGGAAGAACTTGTTGATGGTGATTTTGACACAACTAATCGTACGTGCAAAACGTTGATTGGTCAAGAGACACACGTGATTATGGATGAAAGTAGAGTAAATGCACACAATGAGAGCTTTTTAAAGTGGTTCGGATGCTAAGGTAGCAAATCCTATCCACTGATAGTTTGTATTAGAATCGTGGGTCAGGTCGCAACAGCGGACTGACTTACAAAAAATCGGGAAAAGTAAATACAAAAGTAATGATAAGAGAGAGAGAAAGCTCCTTCAAACTGCAAGAAGGCCGAATCCTTTTAATGAGAAGATCCTTCCTTTTTATATGAGATGAGTGTAGATAACCATCATTAAATCTGTGGGTTGTGCAAATGTCAGGACCAAATCCGGCTTTACGTCCATTGCCCAACTTTCAAGCTGATTTTATGCGATTTGGAGCAGGAAAATGGGACACGTGGGAGCTCCACGGCGCCTTGCATGCTTGACGTGGTGCTACCGTTCTGACGGGAGTAGGTCACCCCCATCACGCGATTTTCCAGTCAGCCCTTGATTTCCCAGGCATAACAAATTCATAGCAGAGCCCTCAGTACAATTAAGGTCGCTTCTCTCCTGAAGGAGTTGAAGAATTAATGATAAAATCAAACTCAGAAAATATACAAAAAAAAATATTCGATCCATATGAACTTAAATCGTATATTGTCATCCATTTCTCTTTTAAAATTAGTTGTTGTTCTTGTTAGAAAAGTCAAAATGAAGTTTATGTAGCTTCAAGTGAGTATGAATAAATATATAGTGTTGTTCTGAATTTTATATATATAGTTAAATTTTAAATTAGGTTGTTGTAAATTCAAATAAAAGAATTGAGTTTGTATATTGAAGGAGATGGTATTTTTAAGGGTAATTTTCATGGTTTCTTTCCACGAGTGTCACAAAATTGTTTGCCATTAATAATGTTAAATTAATAGTGAAAAAAAAAACCATTGTTAAGTATAAATGTTAAAAATATTTTCTAAATCTTTAGTTTACTTTATATCATAAACTTTATATAAAACTATTACATATATAGCAATCTTACTTTTATGTATGAATTTCATCTACAGTTAGTGTATTCTTCTTCAAGTCTTCAATTATGTATTATAAAGGTATATGAGAAAAAATAAATAAAATGGTTTTTCTCTCCCTTTTCCAATAAACTAAAAGAAAGCCATAATAAAATCTCTAAACATATTTTCTTCTAGTTCTTACTAAACAAAATAAAAAAAATCCATCCACTTACTCCTAATTTCTTTTTAGAAAACTACAAAAGTATATATTCTAAAAAATATTGCCTTTATTTGAAAATTGCACATACTCTTAAAAGTTTATATAATATATTACAAGCGTATTAAAGCATATCCGAACCCTTAATTTCTGTCGTATTTTAAATCATGTTAACATTTTTTTTTTGTATTTTGAGTTAATAAATTTATCCCTAACGTTTGGGGAAAATATCTTAGTCATGTAAAATTGAAAAGATCACTGTCATCCCTATCCAACATTGTCGTTAGGGTTGTTCAACATTGTAAGGGTAAGGTTCCATAGCTCAATAACAGATCTAGAAATTCTTATTAAGGTGAGCCAAATAAAATGTAATAACATAATATTCATATTATATGTTTTTAGTTGAAATTCAAAAAAAGAAAAAAAAATTACATATAAATATTTTTAAATTAGGGTGGACCATCAATATACTCTAGATCCGCCCCTGCATGAGCTCATGAATTCGTTTCTAGACACTAATAAGGTGACTATTGAACTCTTATCTTAGCAATTTCAAGTTAAAGGATTAGTTGAAGTACGACAAATGTCTAACCATCCCAAATAATTAAAAAAAAAAACATTGTAAGGGCCCTTTGTCTTTTAATAAACTAAACATTCTAAATTTGTTAAATGAATGTTAAAAAAATACAAAACAAAAATAATCAACCCACAACCACGTCCACCCTCAACCTGTCCAGAGCAATCCATCAGTCCATCATCGGCCTTTCCCAACATATCACAGCGGTGGGCATTTCATATCTGCACCATTACAGACACCAAAATTCTCTAGTCGGTGTTGTCTGACAGGACGACACAGTGATCTTCCAATTTTATAGGACCAAAGCTCTCCCTCAAAGACAATCTCAAGGACGAAAATGTCATTAACTCCACACTTAAGCCAATTCTGACTCGTTAATTTCTGTCGTATTTTAGACGTGTCACAATTTATTTTCTACCTTTAAAAAAAGATTAAATCTCAGTCGTTGGATCAATGAAAAAAATATCATCACAGCCGTCCAATGAACACTTTCTGAAGCAAGTTGCCAAAGAAGAACCACTTCGTCAGAAATTAGGTGGCAACAGATTACTCTTCAACTCTTCACATGTTCGTAGTTTTCATCGACAAAAATCTTCCCAATCTCAAACTAAACTGATAAAAATGCTGTCGATTCGCCTCATTTTAACTTCACAGCGAAGCTTAAGAACCTCCAAGCTCTCCCCATTTCATTCCTTTGTTGTGTTATTCAGCTGCCGCGTTGAAGCTGAGAGAAACCATCAGAGAAGGCCCAGACACGACTGGTCAAAAATGAGATCAAGTCCATTACGACTCTCCGTTCTCGATCTCTCTTCCATGGATCAGTTTCACTTCTAATCTCATTTATGGCTTTACTTTTTGGGGTTCTGTTTAGAATTGTGTTTTGATAGTTAGTTTTTGTTTTGAAATCCAGTTTATCTGGGTTCTTTTTAATGTTTTTGTGAATGTAGACTTCTCAGTGTGATGTTTGCTTTAGTGGGTTTTTGCATTGGTTTTGGTGTTAGTTTGAGCGTGTAAGAGGGATCATGTATCTGGAAAAAGTAAATTAATTTTAGCTGTGTTATGTTAAAGAGTAAAATATTTATGTTGGTTGTGCCTAATGTTAAGCTTTGGGTTTCATGAATATCAGAGTTAGGGGGTTTGTCTAAGTTATAAGCTGGTAAACTAGTTATAAGCTCTAAAATTAAGCTAACGTTTGTTTAAACTTTTGTGAGCTTATAAGCCAAAAAAAATAAGGGAGGAGGTACCTTTTTTTTTTTTGCTATAAGATTGACCAATATATACACACTTATCCTTGTTTAATTTTAAATTTTATAAGTATATCCTTGTTTAATGTAGTACCATTTTTAGTATTTTATAATAAAATGTACTTATAAGCCACATTTTACAAAAACAGTCAACTACTTATTCATCTTATAAGTACATTAACCAAACAAGTAAATGCTTAAAATTAAATGCTTATAAGCTATCATAAGTCAACACACACCCTTAATGTCTCTTCTTCAAATCCCTAATGCTCACATCTATTTCAATCAGTTATGCAATTAATAGTATCTTTGCAAACAACTTGATTATATATGCCTTCAACCCTTTGTAAAAATGGACACAAGGAAGGAAATCCATGGACACCCCAATATTCATCGTAGGAACTATAAGAAACAAGTAGGCCTTGACTCCACTAGCTCATGGGATCCGTTAAACCTTTAGCGGGATCACATTACATTTAATGTCACTGTTAGACTTGAATATTAATGGTTTTGTTGGTCTTACCTAATAGTTAAGAGTAGTGGTAGTAGTAAGTTTGGTGTCCTGTCCAATTTTTCTATTTTGCTTAAAAAAAAAATTGTTAAGATGTTGTTACTGGTAATGTAACTGCTGTATTGTATGGTTGACTTAATTAGAGGTTGTTTCTGGTTGTAGGTCAAGTTCACAGACATGTCATAACTTCAGGGAGGCAGCAGTGCAATCTCCTCTCTATAAGACTGGGGGATGTAGTGAGGATGTTCGTATGTTCCTCAATCCTCAAGATACGACACTGGAGTAAAAGACACAAAGCTAAGGCTAAGGAAACTGTGAGCAGAGCTCAGAAGGTGAGCAAGTTATTTTACTGTGTTTGATGACACTTTGAAGTAAACTCATTGATGCTGTTCTCTGTCATAATGAGTTACTCTGTGTCCTAGCTGTGTTACTAGGAGATTTAATTATGGTATCAAGGCAAAAATAATTTTTTTTTCTCACAGTGGGATGCTATTTTTACCTTGTTGAAATCAGAAGAAACTATTACTTCTCTTCATTGAAGAATGTTTCACTATTTCTGGTCACTTGCAGTAATTTATGAGAGGAGAACTGTCTACCTAATCTGATAGAGTTGAGAGAAGAAAAACAATAATTGTTCAATTCTACTTTATATAAATAATCTGTTTAAGTTTTTGACAAATTGATCTAATGAAATTGTTTTAAAAATGACTGGTTAGTTGGTACAGTCTCAATTTGATAGATTTTATTTCAATTATCTATGAACTATGGTTGATTTGTGTTGTGTGCATGTAATACAAAGCATTCATTATGACATCACACTTTGTATCTTTATTAGGCAAAGGAGGCTGGTAGCACACGTTTTGTATGGGTGCTGCTGGAGAGACACGATAGGGAGGAAGACCAATTTCAATAACATCCTTGAATATGTGAAGAAATAAGGTAATAAGGCAACTTTCAAGAAAAATTTATTGTGCTAAAAGAGTTGATTTCCTGATTTGCTTGAATAATTTTACCTTTTTTAACATGAATGAGGTCTATATACTGTACTGTGGAGACACATTACCACAAAGTTATCAAACCAGTGAGAAAGTTGTATTTCATATGATGAATACCATCTCTGCAACTACTACTCACTAACACAATCTCCCGAAAAAATTACAACACACAACCACACAATGCACAAATCACAATATAATGACCAGCAAGCAGAAAAACAATAAGAAATTAGAGAAAAAAAGACCTATGTCACCTGTCCACAATACAAATTACCCTTTGCCTATTCTTTGTCCTCCGTTATACCATCTAGAGATACAGGGTCCATGTCATACCATATGAGTTATCTTTCTCTCTATCGTCATTTTTTTTTTTTTTTTTTTTGTTGTGGTGTGGTGTTTATTTTTTCAGTCTTGGAACTATTTGTAAAGAGTCTTATTATAAACGTGAAGCTATGTGTTGACGGAAATTTCACTTATTTAAAAATAAAAAGGACTCAAAAATATTTTCCAGCAATTCCAGTCAATTTATATGCATATGCTCTGCAGCTATTGGTCCTTTCTGTTCAGCAAATGTGTCTGTGGACTAGCAATGCTAATTTATATTTATTGCCTTTTCAATTGACTTTTATAATGTCAACTTTGTTGTTGATGAATTTCATCTTTTCTGTTTCCTTCTTAAATTGAAAGAACAACTATAATGCACAGGAACCATAGGTCCTATTAACTTTTTGTGCCGTAAAATTCTTACATTTCAGTTAACTTGTGTAAGGCTTTTGATCATATTCATCAAATGTATAATTTGTCTTATGAATCTGCCATGCACCAGAGAAATGGGAATGGAGGTGTGCTGTACATTGGGCATGCTGGAGAAGCAGCAGGCTTTAGAACTCAAGAAAGCAGGCCTTACAGCATATAACCATAACCTTGATACCTCCAGGGAATATTATCCTAATATTATCACTACAAGAAGTTATGATGAACGCTTGGAAACCCTTAAACATGTCCGTGAAGCTGGGATCAACGTCTGTTCAGGTGATTTGGTACTAAATTTTGGAATCTGGTATCTCCTTAAATTTTTTGTATGCATGGATTTTTATCTGGCTATGTTCTCTTGATTAATGGGGAGACTAGTAAAGTCATGGGTGAAAAAGAAGGAAAAAGGAAATTAATGTTTAGGTTGGTCAATCTTCTTTGACTTGCCTGGGAACCTTTTTGGACAAATGGTCCACCATTAAATTTCTTGATGCCACACTATTGCATAATAGAATTTCTTATTTTCCTTTATTGGGGTTTATATCATTTGCTACTTTTGTGTATCATGGCCTTGTCATTTCAACAATACAGATGTAATAATTATAAACAATTTATAATTATTTAGTAAAGAAATTATGTCTGGAGTATTTCAAATGTGACCATCATGATGAGTTTCCATGCTTTTTCCCTAAAATGAAAGGATATGGTTTGAATTGCTTTTCTACCATCGTTTGAACTGAACATATGTGTCGTTTGGGATTTCGGGTTATGAATTTAAGGTCTTTTTCTAGGCTTCAATTCGTCACCACTCACAGAAGCTTGAGATTCGAGTAGAAAAAGTTTCTCCTTTTGTGGTTCTGTGACCTTTCGTTTTAACCTTATGGTGACTCCTAGAAACCGTCATTTATTCTTTGTCTTCAAAGTTAAAGTGATCTTTTCATAAATGTAGTAGATGTGAATATTGGGGTCACTTTTACTTTTTGTTAACAGGAGGAATAATAGGCCTTGGAGAAGCAGAGGAGGACCGGGTTGGTTTATTGCATACTTTGGCAACTCTCCCAACTCATCCAGAGAGTGTTCCCATCAATGCCCTTCTTGCAGTGAAAGGCACCCCCCTCCAAGATCAGAAGGTGATTTTAATCCTGACTAAAACAGTACTTGATACATATTTGCTGGTTGAGTGCAAATCATCTTTGATTGCAAGCATTTTATTTTGTCATTCAAGTTATCTTTATTTTACATGTTTTGTGGCCTATCCTTTATATTGAATTGTTAGATTATTGATGAGGCATATTTTGTAGCTGTCATTGTCATAGAGGGTGCTCAAAAGTTTGATAAGCAGGTCGACCTTGAAGTTGAATCTGACTTCAGGATAGATAATATTATGGTTAAATCCATGCATTATGATGGAAAGATATTACTGGAGTCTTGATATTTGGAATTACCTACAGCCGCTGATTTTAGTTTTTACTGTCACGTAATTGGAAAATGATAATTGTTTGATTGTATGTGTAATTTGGCATCATAACCGCTTCACAAAGTTACGTTTAACAGATCTCAATTCCTAATTTCTTTTTCAGCCAGTTGAAATATGGGAGATGGTTCGGATGATCGCTACAGCACGTATAGTCATGCCAAAAGCAATGGTCAGGTTATCAGCAGGAAGAGTTCGATTTTCCATGCCTGAGCAGGCGTTGTGCTTTCTTGCTGGTGCAAATTCCATCTTCACTGGCGAAAAGCTCTTAACAACTCCTAATAATGATTTCGATGCTGATCAACTCATGTTCAAGATTCTTGGACTCACGCCAAAACCGCCCAGTTTCACCGAAGACGAAGCAAAATCTTGTGAAGAAGAGAACTGCAAAGCAGCTGTCTGTGTGTAATCTGTACTTGGGTCATTGCTCTGCTAGATTCATACCCTAATGCTAAAATCTCCATAATTTTGTGTTGAATTCATTAAAATATTTAGCTCACCATTGTAGCCATGTTGTTCACTTTGTACTGGAAGAGGTAGTCTTAGAGAATTTTGGAACATATATTTTATAGTTTTATGATTATTTCCAAAGCACTTCTTGATTTCTGGATGATAATTTCATTTACAGCATCCCACTTTTATCAGTTCCAGAGACTGGGAAGATATGAATAACTCTATTTCCACTATATGTTGGGCCGGCGGCTAGAAAATCCGGCCCGGCTTGGGCTTAGGTATATTAACGAAAATTTACAAAATAACAGGTAACCGCTTTTTATAAAGTAAAATGTATACCCAGCTCCTTAAAAACATAACATTGACCCACCCACGGCCCACCATCATCATGCTTCGGGTTTTACAGCCCTATGACAAACTGGCATATTTATGAGTACATACTACATAGTGATATATCATACTATCATATTTCTATTATGAATCTACATGATTCATAGTTTTCAAAATGATTATTTATTCCAAAAGGAATTTTATTTGTTTAACATATGGATGATGGACAGTTAAAAGAGAGTTGAAGATCATTAATAGATTAATAATTTTGATTATTTTAATACATTTTATTAAAAATAAAAATAAAAATAAAAACATATTTTTTATGTGTAAAAGATAATATTATTTTTCCTTTTGCATTTTGTCAGAAACCAAACACCAAAATAAATTAATTAAAAATTGAGTAAAACAATTTATTAAGTGCAGTGCCTTTCAGAGTGACCACATCATGGAACATATTTAGGTAGAATTACACGTTCTAATTGCTTCTATCAATCAATTAATTAGCTAATTGCCTCCCAGACTAATTAATTAATTAACTAATCTTGGTTGAATTAATTATGTCTTACTTTAAGTAAAAAGAATGTATAATTTCACTAAACTTGTATGTTTAACACTTATAATTAGATATGAAATTTAAAGAAGTGAAGCAAATGCTGATATTAATTTGGTGTTGAAATATTTAAAACCTCTCTCAAACCAACTCCAAATTCATTAAGGATAAGAATTTAAAAACATTTAGTTTCAACAAATAGGTTTCTTCTTAAGACGGCTTAACTAATAATGTCTTTCATTTCGGTTTAAAGTTAAATAATGAACATTTAAAATAGAAGAACTCGAATTTGAGACATTTTTTTATTATATATTGCTCTTTTTACTGGACTAATATAATGTTGATCCTCACTTATTATTTTAAGCTTTTAAGTGGGATAACAACTTAAAATAGTTTCAAAATTAAAAGGTTTAAATTTGGATATAAAAAAATCCAAAGTAAATGATTAAATAATTTATCAAAAATTTCAGTAATTTTCAAGTGGTTAGACATTGCTTTTTCCGTTAATCAAATCATAATACATATATGTTAACTACATGTGCATTAAAATCATGTAATGTATCAACAAGATTTATAAAACTTTTATGAACCCGAAAAAATAAAAATAATAATAATCTACAATTCCCTCTATATAAAACCCTAAACCGTCCCAACAATAATATTCACAACCTTTTACGTCTTGCTTCAATGGCTTCAAAAACAATTACCCTTCTCTTTTTCTTCTTCTTCTTCACTTTCCTCACCTCTATCTCTTTCTCCGGAGCCACCGCGCCTCCTCCTTCATCGTGTTCAAGCAGGGGCTATGATTTCGGTGTGTGTTTCGATGTATTCAACTCAGTGCATCAAAACTACGGTAATTTGAACTCTTGTTGCAGTGTTCTAGGCGATTTGGTTAAATTTGAAGCCGATGTTTGCATTTGCCAAACTTTTAACTACTTGAATCTTTTCAATATAGACCTTGATTTCGTTGTGAACTTCATGCTCAGAAATTGTAAGCCAAATCGTCACTTCCAATGCTCATAAATTTATGTGCGATATGTTACAATTGGAATCAGATTGTAATAAAATTTCGTTGTGTTTTCCGAATAAAAAAGTGATAATTTATTTATTTTATAGCATTTTTTTTTTTTTTATTGTTTGATGATTGTATTATTCTAGAATAAGTTGAACAAATTTGTCAAGTTCATTATTTTTTCAATTTTTAAGTTTTTAGATTAAGCAAAGAGTCACATAAGGAAGTGTTTATTTGGTTTTTACTATTAGTATTGGTTTATTATAAATAGTTTGTTATCTTCAAATTACTCGAACTTTTTGATTAATAAACTTATAAATTTTCCATGAGTCAAATTTTTACTTTAGACTGTATCACGAGCGTGCTTTCTCTATTGTAGAATAGTCTCTAACACTCTTTTATCCATCTTACCCATTCATGTTACAAAAAAATGTTAGATGTTATCTACTTCAATTGTATGTTATTTTTTCTCTTTTTTAAAAAAAAAAATTTTAGAATCACGATGATATGAGAAATCTTATTTTTAAAGGTACTTTTGGTAGAGGAATTAATGTCTAATCTTGAAAAAATATATACAAGCAAGAGAAAATTGATTGCCAAAGAAATTATATATATCTACAAGTACAAGGAATTGAAGATCTTTAAGCAATATAAACAATTAAACCAAGAAGTGTGAATGTTCAACGGCACAAATTTCCTCTGGAACACACAAACAAAAAAAAAAAAAAAAAAGGCTTTGTTTTTATATAATGAAATTTTATCTACATGAATTAATTAATTTCTTGGATTTTGCTTCATGAATCCACAATATCATACAAATCTACTATATAATGTACATACATATAAGATTATTATATATTTTTTATTATATTTTGGTATCCGCGGTGTCCGATCCAGCTTGTGCGCAGTTCAACTAGTCCCTGAGCTTGAAGTTAACGGTCAAGTAAACCTTCAATGGCTATCTCTTATTAGTAGTCAGGGATTCGAACTCAAATCTCTTAGTAATACACCCAAAATCTTAAGCTAATGATGATTAGTAGTCCTCGTGCCCTGAAGTTAACGTCAATAAGATAATTAGTTTACCCCTAAAGGATGATTATCCAATATTTTTAGGGTGTAATTAGCTTTTAAAATGAGTGGTTATTCGTATTTTATTTTGCGATGTTTAATACTAACGGTACAAAAAATATTTTTGATATATCAACGTATTTGAAATATTTCTAAGAATAATAAATAGATAATAAAATGAATTCACAAACTTCTCTTATAAACTAAGAAATGATAATTGTTTAACTTGAATTCATCATGCAAGAAAATTTATAAGAATCAATTATCAACTATCCATTGATTTGTAAAAAAAGTTTGTAAAATTCGTTTGTTAACATAATATTACCTTCTAAGAATACAAAATATCACGAATATAAATACCCCCGTGCTATGTACACCAAACCAATCAACTATTACATCAAGCACGTGACATACACACCCTTGGGTGTTGTACATACGTAACATACCATGTGGGTATGAAAGATTTACTCACAATATCATTGCATATTATGAAACTTTCGATTCATTTTGCTTAAAAAGTTCCATGATGTTATCCAGTCACCGGCCTGCATGAGTAAAACTCTGAATATAATGCGTTTTGATCCCACAAACCATTAAAGGTGCCACAGTACGCACAGCCGCTTCTCAATCACCATATACACAAGAAACAAACAAGAATTAGAATAACAATATATATTATACTACTAGCGAAAACATGCTCAATTGAACATAAATAGCAAGAGTTCAAATAACTAAACTGTGTCTTAGATAAAATCTTATTGATTCAATGATTTTCCACGTTCCGGTTGAGTCGCGATTCTTATTTCCATATTATTTTATCTTTTTATTACCTCCTTTAATTTGTTATAATTTGAATAATAGTTTTTTTATATACAGTATTTCATTACACACATACTTTTGTGTTGAATTTGTAAGGAGATTTAAGTTGGAGGAAATATAGAAGAGAGTTTTTGCTAAAAGTGTTGTTATTATGATGTAAGGTTTTTCCTGGTGGGTTTTGGCAAAGAACTAGACCTCTAAGCCCAACATTGTTTTGTCCACAAATCCGAGTCAGTTTTCTCATTCTAATCAACTCTGATTTCCATTCTAATCAATTAGTGATATATTCATTTCATTCTTCTCTACATATACAAAATAAATAAAACAGTAGTTTAAACCCTTTTTAGTATTTTAACTCTCAAGTTTATGCAATGGCTATTAAATTTCTTAAAGCACCCCTAAAATAAGAATCGTTAATAAAAATTATAACATTATTGTATTCCGAAGGTTAATTTCATCTTCCATCTCTTCAAAAAAAAAAAAAAAAAATCATATTTCAAACAACAAATTTGAATAAAGAGAGATAAAAATAAAAGGTTCAAGGTATCGAAAGAAAGAGATTTTATATGTGAGTTGTACTAAATAATAATACCCTTTTTTGAGTAATTTTAGTTTATTTTAAAATTATATTTGGAGCTTAAAAATTTTGGTGGAACTTAAATACGTTACTCTTTTTTTTTTTTTTTTTTAATTGATAAGCGATGAGATGAATTGCAAAATAGCAAAAATGTTTGATTTGTAATTTAAAAATATTTAAAAAGGTAAAATACCAACAAATTTTTAAGTATATTTTAGTATTTTTAATATTGAAAAATGTGTTTTATATTATTTTAAAAAAAATTCATATTGAAAGTTATAGAAAACCGTGAAAATGACTTTTAATGTTTTTTAATTTTAAGAACTATATTCGAAAATGATTTATAAAATAATTCAACTCATTTCTATCAACCGTATCTGTTGTATCCTTTATCATCAACCGGCCAAGGTTTCAGCTCATCTCTTAATGGGCTTGGTTGCAGCTTCTTGGCCCACCTCAAGTGTGAAATTATTATTCATATTTCATATTACTCTTAATTATTCCTTACATTACACCTATTCCCTCACCATTTTCTAAAGGTTTAAGTTATTGTAACTTAATTATTTTTCCGTTAAGATAAATTGACCCCTTATCATATAGTTTGATCTAATTTTGTAAAATTGGATTAGTTGAAATTAAGAAATAAAAATAATTAGTTATCAACTTTAATTTTCCAACAATTTGATGAATAAAAATAGAATTGCATGAGGCATCTTTATCAGTCTCTATTACTTATCCTTTAAGCCAAATAATATTCCTTGGTGAAAAGGATTCTTCCTTGAACGATAACTACAATCA